AAATTTTCTTTTACTAAAAATTCATGCAACAAATTGTTCCAATTCCTGCCGCTTTGCTTAAGACCGTAAAGTGATTTCTTCAATTTACAAACTAATTTTTCGCCATTTTCACCTAACTTTTCATAGCCTTCTGGTTGATCAATGAAAATTTCACAATCAATAGGTGCGTTCAAATAAGCGGTTTTGACATCCATTTGGTGAATGATCATGTCTTTGTTTACAGTGCGTTGTAGTAATGTGCGAATTGAACTCATGCGTGCTGTGGGTGCAAATGTTTCTTGATAATCAATTTCCTGCACTTGAGAATAACCTTTGGCTACAAATCTGGCTTTATACGTTTCCGCCTCATTTTCATCTGTCTTAATTGTGTAAACCCATTTCGCCCCCACTATTTGTCTATCGTTTGGTTTTGGTACAAGCTCATATGTATCATTTTCTACTAGGGCTTTCATTTCAATATTCATGGCCTCTTGCCATTTGTCTGCATCATGTGCTTCAACAGCCTGTTTGTATGTTAATGGCATGTCCTCAACCCTATAACAATAGTCTACTGTAAGACTTAAACTGTCTTTTGTTTGGTTTTGTCCAAAATAACTTGGTTTGCTCCGTTCTCGTGTGGGATATCTAACTAGTTGTTCTTGTTCATGCTGTCCTTGTGCGTGCGTGTCACTACTTAACTCAGGATTGTTTGTTTTTGAAATATCTTCTTGTTCTTTTAAATTATTTGGCTTTTCTTCTGTTTCATTCATGCTATCTGCATTTTGTATTCTATCTGAAATCATATCGTCGATATCATTTATATTTTCTGCCTGAAATTTATCATGAAATTTGACACATCTTGCTTTCTCTACTTTATTTGATTCAAATATGCCGGACTTTCTTTGTCATAACCAACAAAGATTCCTTTTCGACCGCGATTGTCTAACTTTTTGACATTTTGTACATATGCATAACAAGTGGATCCAAATACATGCATGTTGCTTAAGTTTGGTTTCTTACCAACCAAAGACTCGAAGGGTGTTTTTCCTAAACGTGAGTTGAAACACCTGTTTCGAATGTAGACTGAAGTCATCACAGCATAAGTCCACAAATATTTGGGTAGCTTTGCCTCTAATAAGAGACATCTTGCCCTATTAAATAAAGTTTGCCATGCTCTTTCTACTGTGCCGTTTTGATGCGGAGAATAAGGTGCACTTGTCTCATGTTTGATACAATGATTTCTTAACAAAAATTTGAATTCTCTATTAACAAACTCACCTCCGTTGTCGCTTCGTAGTCTCTTAACTTTGCCATAAGGTGCAGCGTCAGCTAAGAACTTTTTCGTAGCCTCAAGTGTATCACTTTTCCTTCTCAAGAAATAAATCATTGTTATTCCTGTAAAATCATCAACAAATGATAAAGCATATTTAAAGCCGTCTTTAGCAGTAGGCTCAATTGGCCCAGCTAAATCACAATGAACAAATTCTAATGGAAATTTTGCTCTCAGATCTGGCTCCCTATTTCTGGTTTGACACATTTTGCCTTGGGTACATACTTCACATTCTATTTCGCTGTAGTCAGTAATCTTCATGCCTTTGACTACCTTTTCTAGTTTTCTAATGTCTCCATAATTACAATGACCTAATACCTTGTGCCAATCGTGTAGTGTCGTTGCTGTGTTGCTTGGCGAAGAAATACTATTTAAGTAATAAAATCGACCTTTCTTCTCAAGTTTGAATACGCTGCCTTCCTCTGTTTTGTATTCACTTACTTGTTTTCCTAATTTTATTGTGCCTCCTCTGTCTATTTCTGCTGATACTGAAAAGATATTTTGATTGTACGTCGGAATATAGAGCGCGTTATGCAGGATTACATCATGCAAGTTACCCTTAACATCAAATAACTTAACCTTAGCATTTCCCTTTCCTAATACAACATTAGCTCTACTCCCATCAGCTAATTCAATAAAATGAGTATTGTTATCAAAGTTTTTATCAAAACTTTCAAATTTGGAACTGTCATTAATTATGTGACTCGTTGCTCCCGTGTCCACTAACAAGTCTGTATCTCCTTGGCTTCTTCTTCTTCTGTCTTTGTACTCTTGTGTTGTGAATGCAAATGAATGTTCGTCTTTTGTTGTTTTCTCCTTAACTTTCTTTACTGTGTCCTTCTTCGTTGCCTTGCACTCATTAGTATTGTGAGTCTTGCTTTTGCACTTGGCACACCATTTTCCGTTTTTCATCCAACATTCTGAACTTTTATGACCTTTCTTGCCGCACGTAAAACATTTCCCTTCAAATCGTTGATTCTGTTTTGAAAACATAACTCGATCGGTTTCATCTTTTTCACACGATTTTTCGTTCTCGTCGTAATCTCTCAACGTCGTTTTGAATTCACTGAAAGTCATTTGTTTTTCCCTTTGGATGACCACAGTTGCAAACGTTTTATAATTTTTCGGAAGCCCTTTCAGAACCATTGCAATCAGCAGCCCATCGCTTATAACTTCCTCAGTATATTTTAAAGCAGTCGCTGCAGTCTCAGCACGTATCACAAAATCAGTCGTGGTTTCGTTTTCCCCTTTCTTTAACGAGGTCAATTCTGTATACAGAGCGATGATTCTTGGCTTTCCTTTGCCTTGGTAATGTTCACGCAGAACACCAAGCGCTTTTCTACCATCGTCTCTTGCCTCTCTTATTATAAGAGACAAACTCCGATCGTCCAGACATTGTACCAATTCAGCGAAGGCATTTGCATTTCTCGCCTCATCCAGTCCTTCCTCATCTCGACTAGGAACGAACACATCGTACAGCTTCTGTATTCTCATAAACGAAAGAAACTTCACCTCCCAGAGTTCATACTTGGCTTCATCTCCATTGAAGACAATTCCTCTCCTGGGCCCATAACCTGTTAGGTTTTGTGATGTAGCCATGTACCTTCTTTAGTATAATTTGACTTACACCAACAAATGTTACAGATAACTATACGATAACATTTAATGTTCAACGTCTTCTATTTTACAATGATTTAACTACTCCTATTTATACAAAATTTACGTAAGATTATTTTGGGTTCTGCTAACAAATATGGTTTATTGACGTCAACGAAAAACTACTAGGAAACTATATAAAATATTGTCTTGATAACATTATAAGTATCTCTTAACATTAGTCATATAATTACTTACACTTGAATTTATGATTTGCTAATCACGGGAAGAATATTAGAGCATATCTTAACAATGACTATGTTTAAAATTATTTTTTGGGCTCTAATATTTATATTGAGAATAACAGCATCAACTAATTTCGTTGATAGCGACGACTTTGTCAAATGACATCAATTTTAATTCTTGTGTTTTGATGGATATATATTTCTTTAATGCAAGACTTTTTGTCTTATTTAGATGTCCTTGAAAACATCAATTATACGTGGGTAGTATACATTATGCGCATGGCATTTGACAAAATATCAAGGCAACTAATTAGAATGCGCATTATATACGTAATATAAAAGTCATATAACAATTGCCAGAGTAGTTAGGAAAAGTTTAAGTCAAGTGTTACATTTCCGTAACAAAGTCGAAAGAAACAGGAAAAAATTTATCAAACAATTTATTTAGAAATATAACTAATAAGAAATGAGGAAAAGTAGAAGAACAATCCAATAAGTTAACACTTATCAATTTCACCTGTAATAAGTGACTTTATGGTTAACACACTTGATGTTTGTACATTCGATGAATTTTTCACAAGAGATTAATTTAACACATTTTATGTTAACACATTGCGTAATTCGCTGAAAATCTCTACGTGCTTGACATTGAATTTTTAAGATATATTTTACCTACAACATCGATGAAATTAAATTGACATTAAAACTTCAAATCTAAACATTTATGCACCGAACGACCTCGACTGACTGTAGTACTTTGAGAACATAGAGATGTTAGCAATAGAAAATTACTTCCTCTATCTCAAAGCAAACTAACACATTCCTTGATAACAATTTTATTCTACATCATATATTTCTATGTTCCAGAAAAAAACCACTTCGTACTAATCATTTTGTATTATATTATTCTATTTGTTGGGTACTTTTCCGGCAAAGGGGAAGCGCGCGCCGCCGCTTCGCCCATCACTCTAAATCCACCCCCGTCACATTACCCCAAATTGCAACTAAAAATTAATTTAGTTTCAGGTATCATTGACTGAGGAATTACTCCAAAGCTAGTTAAAGATTTAAGTAAAATGTTTTAAGCCTCGATTGTTTGCATGGAGAATTCTTCAAACTTATTGGCAAAACATCAAGCTAAATCGCTTTCATTTAACAATCACATTTTCGATATTTGGATGAAAAATTCTAGTTTTTAGTTCACAGTCACGTTACTTAGCAAAAAATAATTCGAAACTGACCACAATAATAAAACCACAATGCGAAACCGAACTGTTATGATAAATAATTACATGCACATAAGCAACCATTTTCATTGTTTAGTTAACGTCACAATACTAACTAAAACGTGACTAAAGATAACCTCAATTAACCTGCCTAGCGCATATCATGTATGATAATGTATGATATAATGTTGTACACCAAACATATGTACTCCAAGATTTTAACATAATTATCGAATCCACTGAAAAACAGATTAGTAGCTACATCATAAAATAATGTATGATTACAACGAAACGAACCGTCTTTTAAAAAACTATTTAGAGCTAATGGTTAATTTTACTTGACTTGCCACGGCATTTTCAAATGATTACAAGTTAAGAATGAAAGGGTTTTAAAATAAAATAAAGATATTTGCACAGACAGATTTCTTTATATAGACACAATGCCTTTCCCCATAGTAATAACACCAGGTACTATACACCACTAACCACTATACCACCAAACTCTATTTAGAAAACAAAAATGTAACAAATTACATGAACATACTGTGAATGAAGCTTGAGTGAATAATATATTTCTGTAATGAAAAAATCAGGTAGCCACACATGTTTTCGAAAAGATTTTATGTTTTGGACTGAATGCTTTCAAAAACATTATGAAAATTTCCGTCGAAACTGATTTGCGGTTAGCACACAAAAACACATCATCCTTATTCTGACAGCGCATTTCGGAGGCAAGGAAGAACTTTCACTCCTTTCGAACAAACTGGAAGATTCCAGGTAGCAAAAAGTAGAGCAAATAAATAGAACCGACGCTTGGAGATTCATTCATACTTAGTACTCGGCTGCACATACAAGAACAGCTGAAGACTGTCAAAAAATAGCAAACCAAAGAAAATCGAAATTATTGTGAGAAATCGTTCGCTCGCTCATATTGGAAAAAGAAAAGCAATGGGTGAGTCAGAACTACAGTTGTTGTAAAATTATCGGCAGTTTATATATTGGTAAATGTAATGATTTCTTCAGCGAATACTTTTTTAAAACAATAAAAATGGAGCACATGAATTTAAAATCTTACAAAAAAACTGACAAAAATTATCTCACAGTAGGGCGGAGCTCTGATCTCATGCAATACTGAATGATAATTAATTTGCAGTAACTCTAACATAAGCCAATATACGTCATAAGATCTAATCAAGTTAGCTTGCTATTAATAAAAACAGTGCCGGACCGGGTACGTCAAAAAATAAATTACTGCAGCTCCTTTTACAATATATTTACAAGTTTACAAACATTTTAGATGCAAGTGCATTGGTAAACTTATATGCATTAGAAATTCCGAACCAATAATGTTTTTGAACGTATTTTTCGAATATAAAATCGAATTGAGCTATATAACTTTATTTTGCCGAACGCTGAGTCCGCTTATGATTTAAAAACAAATTTTGTCGGCAAAAAATATTTGGAACTTCAACATACATAGACGTTTTCCGCCGTTCAAACAAGGATGACATTATTACAAAAACTATCTATACAAAGAGATATTGAAACAATGACGCAAAAAACGTCATTTGCAGTAATCAGTGCGTGACTAACAATGTACGTATTGTATAAAAATACCTATTTTACAAAGTGTTATAAAGTCTTTATTTTCAATGATTAATATTACGTACACATTTACACAATATCTCATCAGATAAGTAAATACGAAAGTATACATACACATAACAATACAAAATTTGCATCTACAGCAAAAGAGTATCTCGGGAAGATATAACGACAAATTCGTCTTGGTTTAGAGTAAAATTTGACGATTCTACTAAAATACTTGTCTGTTTAGCCCACTTGCCTTTGTGAGTACAAATTCGAGCAAAAAAACTTTTGGCAAGATATAGCATATGACATTTAACGCGCATAGGTGTAGTTAGAGCATGAGTCAGTACAGACAATTTCGTCATCGCCTGTTTAAACGTACTTCGCATACAATTGTAATTGATGTAATTTCATCAGCGATACCTTCCAACTGATTTGATACATTCCAACTGATTTCATACATTTCAAATGATTTTATACATTTCAAATGATTTTATACATTCGGATTCCAACTGATTTTATACAATACAAATGATTTACAACACTACCTATTCATAAATAGTTGTAGTTGTTGTAATTCAGGTGATACTTACTAGTATCAAATTTGATCATTTATCGTACAAGAATTCGAAAGTAAAGATGAATTGCCATCGCCGATAATCGTTCACGTGTAAATTTCTTATGTTGTAAATGTTGTAAGAGTTGGACAAGTTCAACTTCTTGAACAGCTCTCGATTTGTCTGGGATTAAATTACAACAATTACAACAATGACAACGCGCGTTTACTTATAGTTGTAATTGCTGCAAACGTTCATCACCGATCGAATTACAACAATTACAACTATATGTGAACTAGGCTTTATGGTAAAGTTGGTGCCGATCGTTCACACGAAATCTTGGACGAAAACATTCAAAATTTAAAATATTTTACGAGTAAAGCTAAACTATCTTTTCAAAGCATTTCTATAATGCCAGAGACAAATTTAGCTCCTAATATGGTTTGAATTACTGAATGAGGATACTATAGACGCTCACGAAACACAAAGCAACCAATATTTGTCCTTATAATAACCCATCATGACAGCAGTCGTAGGCGAATATATTATTTTCATTGTCTGTAATGTACAGGTCAATGCATATCAAAGACATACTGCAATAAATAACTAAAATAAGCAATGATATCGAAATATTAAAAAGGGAAAACCCATCGAGTATTTATGTGTAGATCTGATTAGTTACATGGAAAACTTTACTTTAGTAAAATACAAAACTTCTTCTAACAGCAAGCCGTCAAAAGGAGACTTTTGACAGCAAGCGGTCAAAAGAGACCACTCACAGCAAGCGGTCAAAAGGAGACTTCTGACAGCAAGCGGTCAAAAGGAGACTACTCAGTCTATTCTTCGGCAAACGACAAAATGAATATCAAATGCTTATGAACAGACATAAAAACCAGGCCGTATACACAAGCTTAATCCACATAGTGGTAAAAATATCTTATGGTGCCCGAGAGTGATTGTTTATTATACATGATTTATATATGAGTAAAAATATCCTGCAATCTCGGTTGGATTTCGGTCTCAAAAAAATCCCTTAAACTACGAAAGAGAGTTGTGCAAGAAGTTAATATTTTTAACCGCTGCATACAAACAGAAACAATTGCTTTAACAATGAAAAATATGAAGATGTATAACCGGAATATTATTTGTGTAATATGCCAATACACCGGCGTACATCGATGTTATAATAACTAATTATCATATTACAAAACGATGCTAATATGTAGTGTTTGATTGCATATATTGAATAAGTTGTAAATAAATGAACACTGAACAACTGACAGAGCGAGACCCAAAAGATAGCATGAAAGAATTAACGACATTGACGTTAACTTTTTGGTCGCGTTTATAACGGTTAACCCCATCAAGTACTTCACAGCTATGTACGTATTTTGGTGTTTGTTCACTGTAAAAACAATATCCATCAGGAAACCAACAATGATATCGTGTTAAAAAACTTACAGAGCATGACCATGCAACTCTTGAGATGGCTAGGCTACCGCTTAACAGTTAATAGATTGTCACTTTGTCGTTTGCAAGAGCTCGAATGCTTTGCTTTGCTGTCTTTTGTCTTCAATTTAAGAAAATATTTTAATTATTGCTGTGTGATTAGCGTATTTGTCGTGGTGATTGACAATTGAGTAGTTCTTCAAAGAACAGTTGAACACCAAAATGAGGATATTACATAAAATTAAAATGACACGATGCATTTCGGCAAACTGCAGCATAATTTTATAACTATCTTCATTTCAGTTTTCTACAGTTCTTAAGAACTACTTAAATTGTCGTTCAAGATGACAAATACGTTAATGAGAGCAATATTTAAAGTTCGTGACCACAATAAAGTCTTTGTTTTATAAAAAAATGTAATTTCCCCTAAAACGTCATTGGAACTCATGCAATTGCCTCAATTCAAATCTGACTTTGCAATATTGTCCAGTCACTCTTCCCATACAGGCTATATACACAGTAATAGATTTCTGAAATGTGATTTCCCTACAACATCATTGGAATTGAAGTGCGTCAAAGCTGACTTTGCAATAATTTGAGAGCAATGAGCTGCCTGAATTACTTATTACTTATTTCTAAAAACAGACGAGTTGTTTTTTTTATAGTAACTAACTAATTTGCAATTCTATATAGCTATCAAATAAATTTATGTTCTCGAACAAGTCATGGAGTTCATCTTTTGAACAAAGAATGCAATATTGTCCAAAAAAAATACATATCCAATCGTATTTAGCTGTAGTAATGAAAAAAAATGATATAAATGTAGCTTTAAAATTTTGTAACATGCAAATAGTTAAATGGATATATAGCCACCGTAGCACACATAATCCATGACAAACAAAATTATCAAAATCTACAACAAGCGCTACAATGCGTGTTTGCTCTTCCTATTTTAAAAATATAGCCACGTAAACAATTTGACACATCTTTGTTGCCCGGCTATATAAAACAATCAAAAGAAAAATTTACCCGGAATTTGCCAGAAGCAAATCAACAATTACATCTCAATTAAATAGCTATGTAAATTGGCATTTCGACAATTCATTATATCTGTAAATTCTTCCCATTTCATATTACTCACAATATATGATAAATTGATAATTCAGTAATGTTTACGTCAAAATATAATGTGCCGACGTAGGATCGTTTAATTGAGAGACATGATTAACAGTGTAAATATTTACTTTTTAAGCAAGTTGAGAGGATAGGCCAGCCTGACCATAGTGCAGAATATGAGAGAATAATGAAAGAATAATTATGCTATGGGCCCACGCTTTCAGATTCTTCTTTATGATTTGAATTTTACAGTAACTTAATTAAGTGAAGCAAACAATGGTTTAAGAGTAAGAAATCTTAACATTTCAAGTGCCAGTTTATAAATTAATAACGACATAAATACTTCAATATAAAACTGGTTGATTACAGAGATTTGATGAGTCATCTTCAATGGTTCAGGGATGAATAAACATTGATTGTATAGTAAATAAACAATTAAATGAGAGTACCTACATAATGATTACATATGAATGACATTCCGTTCAAATATATTCATAGTACTTATCAAAATATAGGATGTCTTTGAAGACTAATTTCCATCTCAATTGTGGTTAAAATCTTAAATTTTTGAGGTTTATAAAACCATTCTATTGAAATTAGAGAGTATAAAAGACGTTTCAGAACTCATCATTTATAAAAGCGAAGCTAAGTTGTGATGTATAAGAGAGACAATACACCTGACATTGTACAAGATATCTTTGAGAAATCAGCTTGTAAAAACAGAAGAAATGGGTGAGCAATGCATGTTTATTAATGATGGAGGAAATGCATAAATTTAGTCTTCAAGAAAATTATTTAATGAATTTCTTATAAATAAGACAGTTAAAGATACTTTCATTAGTGTTGACAAATTTTTTTGATGACATAATTCTACGATTAATGAATTTATTTTGTTAATAATATAATTGAGTGATTTACTGAAACAATACACCATAACCCAACACCCCTTGTACTTTTTCACGATAAAATAAATGCTTCATAAAATGAGCAGTTCACGTGTGTAATAATGAGCATTAAATAATGAATTTTCTGAAAAACAATCTTTGTCTTCTTTAGGTGTCTTTAACAACTTTATATATACATGCATAATATGTGTGATGTTCATGAGCAAGAATGTGCATGGTAAAACAGAGAACAAGACTACTAACAATAAACCAGGTACAAAAACAAATAATGATTTGAATCACGATGAAAATGAGTTAACATTAATATTCATTTCCTGTAGTTTCAGTCCTCAAGGAAGAAGTTGTCTCAATTTATAATAAAAACTTCGCTGAGATACCGAAGGACAGGGACCCATATTATGTTAAAGTTCAACGATGTAACATCGATAAAGATATTGTTCCTGAATGTTCATTATGTTGGCCCCAACCTATGACATTGACAGAAGTCGAGATTGTCGTTCCTGATTTAAAAAACTACACAAAATTTTATAAATATATTGTATATAATCACACTTCTTGTTACCTGGAAGAGAACTTGACAGCCGTGAACTTTAATCTACACAAGAATCTACCTTCAAACGAAAGTAAGGACTTCTGTATTTAATTAAAATTTAAACTGAGATCTAAATTTGAAACGCTTTTCCTTTTGTGTTTACAGTTAACGAAACAGAATTTACAACAAAAGTAAAATACAATCCACCAAACGTGAGAACATGTAATGACTATTGCAAGCATCCACAACCTCGTTTTCATGTGTACAGTGAATATACAAAGGTTCTTTTAAATTATCTCTTTATCCCATTCACTCAATGCTTGCCGGGTTGCAACGCAACAGAGAAAATGAAGCATGTCGAATTAAAACTCCTGGATGGTTCAACCCAAAATGAAGTTGTCAGGAATCACACATCGTGCACTTTTTGGATTCCAAAAGTCCATAAAAGTACACATTCTAATAGCAGCCGCAGTGGTCCAGGTAAAAAATTTTCAATTATGATTGAAAAATTTAACCAAAAAGCGTACTGTGTGTAATTAGATGTGCACAACTTTTGAGAAAAATTGCAAAATAATCATGTTTTACGATTTGCTTCATGATCTTATTTCCATAAAATTTCTCTACAGAAAGTCGACCCCAGGTGCTAAATAAAGGGTTATTTGTTTACATCACATCACCTAAATTGATGTTAGTTGCCTTCATTCTCTCGACTGTCCTCATCTCAATACTCATTCTGGACTGTAATCTGTGTCATCGTAAGAAAGGAATAATGTATTCGATAAAGAGTTGTGGAAAGAATGAAGAGTGTAAAGACTGCGTAAGAAGACAGCAGACTATGATAGAAATGGTTTAAGTATCAGTAGTTTTTGTGTCACATTTCTGCTAAAAACGAAGACATGAATGAATAAAGCATCTGAAACCAGGCCCATCGGAAGCTGTGGGGTTTGGGCAGGCTGCAACCCCCTTTCAGTAATTTTCAAAATTGTTGTGAAAATTTAACAAGCCCCAGCTTTTCCCCAAATCTTCTAGGAGAAAGTCACATACCGTAGATTCTCGAAATAATAAGCTGCCCGGTCTATTTCAATTTTAAAAAGGTGGCTAATTTAATGGTGCGGTTACTTTCAGTGGAATGATATTTCGAGACTCTAAGATATTTGAATTTTCAGACCCCCATTCTTACTTAGAGCTTCCGACGGCGGTGAAAACAAGAAATGGCTGAACATTGTGTTGTGCGACAAGATGAATGACGTACAACTCATGACACTCCACGCAAAGCTATTAAAGTGTATGAATTGTTTTCAGCAGAAACTGTGATTGTAATATTCTAATAATTGGATAATATTCTAAAAGCTGTATAACATTTGCACTAATTTCAGCCAAATCAACATTTATACTAGATATTTTTAATTAAATTAAATTTTCTTTATTGATATTAAACTGGAATTCATGATTATTAGTGAATGTGATGAAAGTTGACGTGTTCTGAGAGCAGTAAAATGGGCAAGTTTTGTTGTTGCATATTCAAGCAACTTTTGCTCATCTTGTGGGCATCCACTGAAGAAGGTTTTAAAAGCCTTTTTCCTCGTAAACCAGAATTATAAGACCAAAGGAATGATCAAGTCAGTTGGCAGATCATTATTTCAAGAGCTTTCCTTTTCAGTGATAAGTTTATGGATTAGGCTGACTATTATAACAAAGAACTTCCAATTAGATTTGAAAAGTAAATTTAGTAAAGTCAAAAGAACCAGTTGAATATTTGGTTACCTTTCATGCACGAGAATGTGTTTATATAACCGCGTTTTCTTTTCTTTTATTGTGGACTAACTCAAGCATGAATAGACTACTTTAAGTACAAAGAGTAAATAGATAAAATCTTGGATAATAACTGAACCAAATGCAATAATGACCAAATCAATTCAAGTGTTTTAGGAACAAGCAACTTTTATTTGCAAAGGTAGTGGCAAGAAAATCGTTATTTTGTAGATAAAACGTTTGTTACTTGCACCGCAATTAACGTAGCCGATATTCCGTCTTATGTCCGGCGTATCAGTGGCGTGCGTCACGAAGCCAGAGTAGGGCCCTGGGACCAATGGAAAAATACTGGCCCTTCTTAAAAAATATTAGCTATTGCGCAACAGAAAATTATTTCATAAGAATCATAACTATCTTCTCCTTTCTCTTTTGAGTTATAAATATCATATTTTCCTTCATAAATTATTTAATTATATGTTTAAAAGATAGTTATTTTGAGTTTCATTGAAGTTGATTTAAATTTTATATAAATGGTTGGTCATTAAATAAATAGATCAGTAGCTAAATCATTGCTAATTTTATGCTGATTACCAAAGAATAACACGTGTAAAATGTTAATATGGCGGACGATTTTTAAATTCTTTCCAATTCAAAAATAAAGCAAAGGAATAGACCGTTTTCGCCCTCAACGAATTAATAAATGACACACAAGAATGACGCCGAATCATCAAACAAATTTAACTTTGTTGCATTTTAAAACGTTGTATAAAACGTCAAACTCACTTGACCTGTCTCGCATTGAAGGTGAAAAGTCGTTTAACTGTCTCAATTGAGAGATTTTCCTGAAGAGCTAGACAGTATTTTGACTAAATTGATCAGTGACAAATGACTTAGGAATGTATCTTAAATTACCAATCACAACAAATGATAACCACAAGCAAGTTAAGAATTATTAATTATGTCGCGTATTATTCATTATTTGCATGCGTTATAGCAATCAATAAATCTTTCGTTGCTTTTTAAATTGATAATAAGCTGAAGTTTTTATATTGCAGGAGATTATATTTTAGGAATGAAAAAAAAATAGTGAAAAGCACTTTCTAGCCAAAGTGAATTAAAAATAATTAATGCTTGTTTTAATGCAAATTGCCGTCACTTGAACGTTACAATCGGGAACAACTGAATACTCCTCCCATATTTACTGTTCTGTAGACGGTCCTGCTTTGACGTATTAAACTTGGTATCCAAGGATAGTGCAAAGTGTTAAAATATGCTCTCATATCTTCCTGTAATTAGCAATTAATTAAGTCAAGTGATTCGAAGGAAAAACACTTGGAAAACAGTTAAACTATCCAAACGATACAATTTGAAACGATTAATTTTTTAAAGACGAAAACTAGAAAAGTGAAAGCCAACCCGTAAAAATAACAAGGACGAGAAAGAAGGCAAGATTTGTTTCAGGTGAAATAATGCCATGTAATAATCTTTTGAATAACGTCGCTTTCTCGGTCTTTACTGAGAAATATCAGACCTTTGTCTTTTTCTACAAACCTTGCCCTACGGGCTCGGTCTGTACAAGAAGACATCATTCCGATATTTCTCCGAAAAGACCTCGCGCTCAGCTATTAAGGGCTTAATATTGTAACTGGATTTCAGGGAAATTACATCGGGATTTCGGGGTGACTATGGTTGAATTCGAGGGAGCTAGTTAAGTAGCAGAATTTTGGGCTCATACAATTATTTTACTCGCACGCCCTATTTAAATCTCACCTTGTCTTGAAGCAAAAGAAACAGTTGGGGTTACCCAGATAATATGCAAACAATGGCAGCAAATATATTAGATAATCACAGCGAATATATAAATGACTCTTTTCAGTATAGAGTCACTCATTATTCAAAAATATGAAGACTATAGACTAAAAAACAGTCGATATGTAAAAGAAAAACCTCAAAACGCAGCAACAGCTGTGATATATACTCAATACACACTTATCATCGTATCAAACATTTAAATGTCAGTACACTTTCACGATACTTAAAATTTATCTTTATATTCGGTACCTTCTTTAAGTTACAGCATTCTTTATTAACCTCTTCTACAAAACGCTTTCAAAGCCTCGGTAAAAGTACATTACTTACACGTTTGTAATTGAAAACAGCAGCGTGCTTCTGTGTCCCATCCTCGTCATTATTGAAACCCAAAATGAAGCATTCGACTGCATGGCGTAAACTTTAATTATTGTACTCACAGATTACCAATTGGCGAATTATCAAAGTCATTGTATCTCTTAATTCTCAAGTGAAGGTAGTTATTGTTTAGCAATGCTAGAGAGCATGAACACTTCTGCTTTATACAATACATATGCATAAAGAATTGTTAATGAGTTCAATAGAGTTATTAATATGAAATTCAGCAGTATTATTCTATTGAAATGCTGTCACTGTTTGCTATTGGTGGGTTGCAACCATCCTCCTGAGAGTAAGAGAACAATGGAATGCTGGCGATGTTGGATGAAATTAGCATTGTAAATAAGGAAAATCCTTTGTTAAAATCATCCAACATGGCGACTATGACGTAGCTTGCAACCCAAGAATTGCTTTGATTACCCTACGTTTTAACTTTCCTTCACTTTTCATGAATTTGAGACATGCACTCCTATATATATAGAGAGCATGAAAAAATACTGAAAAGTATATTGGTGAGTAAAGGCAGTTATTTTTAAAAATAATTTTAGTATCGAGTAAGATTTTCTGCATGCTGTTGTTAATACGACTTGATCCTTTCTTACATCGCAAAATAAAGTTACTAAACTTATCAATATTAATATTAAAGAATGAAAAAGTCGACCCCACCTCAGAAATGTATTTTATTTCACATACAGAACAACTCCTCACATGAAAGGTGTTACGACAATTGCTCTGCACGACGATGGCAATGAATGGTGCATCGCAACCGCTGATAGAGATGGAGTCATTAATATTTGGAATTAAACGTTTGGAAATAAGATATTTCGTTCAAGCAACAAAATCTGGAATAGGTGTTACGACAATTGCTCTGCATGACGATGGCAATGAATGGTGCATCGCAACCGCTGATAGAGATGGAGTCATTAATATTTGGAATTAAACGTTTGGAAATAAGATATTTCGTTCAAGCAACAATATCTGGAATGAAACCGTGAAACATCTAGTTGTGGAAAATAATCTCGGAATAAGATTATGAACATGCTTAACTTTATGAAGGCTAAAAATCACTAAAGGCTGCTTCTTAGCATACACATATAGTAATTGATGTAACTCTAATACGCATGGCATAATTTGACCTTTCAAGTATAGTTTTATTTGTTACGTTATACGGTTACATAAATTGAAAAAAAACAGGAAAAAACTTATTAAAATATTTATTTCGAGTACAACAAAAAATGAATAAACAAAAAGTGAAAGAACAATCCAATCAATTAAAACTTACCTGTTTTAACACTGATAAGTGACTCTCGAACATTCGTCGTAACTCCAATATTTTGCACAACAGGATCTGCGCATGCGCAGGGAAACTTCTGTGCCGTGCTATTTCCTAAACTACTGGGACTACGGCGATGATCTTTAGCTCATGTGAAAGCTGTCGACGAGCCCTTTCGAATGAGCTATTGAAAATCGCCGTAACTCCAATATTTTGCGAGATAGGATCTGCGCACGCGCGAAAGTAATTCTGCGCATGCGCAGTGCTATCTCCTAAACTACTGGAGCTACGGCGATCACATTTAGCTCATCTGAATTTTCTCAACGAGCTCTTTCGAATGAGCTATTGAATTATGGCCGTAACTCCAATATTTTGCGAAATAGGCAGCCGATGATGTATAAATAATTGACAAGCTTGAAATCGTCAGCTTGCAACGTACCACTTATGTCACAGGTCATAAAATTGCCGTGTTTTTCTTAACTATTTTTAATTGCATTATTGCCTCCGTGGAGAATATTAATTACGTACGCACTCTCCAAAAACTCGTTTCATGTACTACTTAAATAAATATTACAGCATCAATATTGTTGCCAACGAAGTGCCAGGTGGAATGGATTCTCAATATAATATATTAACAAATTTAAATAGATATAAACAATTTGTTTTATGATATTTATTAAAAGAGTGACGTTTCGTCTTTACCCAAGACATCTAGTTAGTCTGAAGACACCTAATTGGTCAAGACACATTTTACTCCAGACACCTAATTAGTCTGAAGATATCTTGAGTAAAAACGAAACGTCACTCTTTTAATAAATTTCATAAAACCAAATTGTTTATGACTATGTTTAAAATTATTTGTTGGGCTCTAATATTTATATTGAGAATTACAGCATCAACTAATTTCGTTGATAGCGACGACTTTGTCAAATGACATCAATTTTAATTCTTGTGTTTTGATGGATATATATTTCTTTAATGCAAGACTTTTTGTCTTATTTAGATGTCCTTGAAAACATCAATTATACGTGGGTAGTATACATTATGTGCATGGCATTTGACAAAATATCAAGGCAACTAATTAGAATGTGCATTATATACGTAATATAAAAGTCAAGTGTTACATTTCCGTAACAAAGTCGAAAGAAACAGGAAAAAATTTATCAAACAATTTATTTAGAAATATAACTAATAAGAAATGAGGAAAAGTAGAAGAACAATCCAATAAGTTAACACTTATCAATTTTACCTGTAATAAGTGACTTTATGGTTAACACACTTGATGTTTGTACATTCGATGAATTTTTCACAAGAGATTAATTTAACACATTTTATGTTAACACATTGCGTAATTCGCTGAAAATCTCTACGTGCTTGACATTGAATTTTTAAGATATATTTTACCTACAACATCGATGAAATTAAATTGACATTAAAACTTCAAATCTAAACATTTATGCACCGAACGACCTCGACTGACTGTAGTACTTTGAGAACATAGAGATGTTAGCAAAATTACTTCCTCAATCTGAAAGCAAACTAACACATTCTTTAATAACAATTTTATTCTACATCATATATTTATATGTTCCAGAAAAAAACCACTTCGTACTAATCATTTTGTATTATATTATTCTATTTGTTGGGTACTTTTCCGGCAAAGGGGAAGCGCGCGCCGCCACTTCGCCCATCACTCTAAATCCACCCCCGTCACATTACCCCAAATTGCAACTAAAAATTCATTTAGTTTCAGGTATCATTGACTGAGGAATTACTCCAAAGCTAGTTAAAGATTTAAGTAAAATGTTTTAAGCCTCGATTGTTTGCATGGAGAATTGTTCAAAATTATTGGCAAAACATCAAGCTAAATCGCTTTCATTTAACAATCACATTTTCGATATTGTGGATGAAAAATTCTAGTTTTAAGTTCACAGTCACGTTACTAAGCAAAATTAATTCGAAACTGACCACAATAATAAAACCACAATGCAAAACCGAACTATTATGATAAATAATTACATGCACATAAGCAACCATTTTCATTGTTTAGTTAACGTCACAATACTAACTAAAACGGGACTAAAGATAACCTCAATTAACTTGCCTAACGCATATCATGTATGATAATGTATGATATAATGTTGTACACCAAACATATGTACTCCAAGATTTTAACATAATTATCGAATCCAATGAAAAACAGATTAGTAGCTACATCATAAAATAATGTATGATTACAACAAAACGAACCGTCTTTTAAAAGACTATTTAGAGCTAATGGTCAATTTTACTTGACTTGCCACGGCATTTTCAAATGATTACAAGTTAAGAATGAAAGGGTTTTAAAATAAAATAAAGATATTTGCACAGACAGATTTCTTTAAATAGACACAATGCCTTTCCCCATAGTAATAACACAAGGTACTATACACCACTAACCACTATATCACAAAACTCTATTTAAAAAACAAAAATGTAACAAATTACATGAACATGCTGTGAATGAAGCTTGAGTGAATAATATATTTCTGTAATGAAAAAAAACAGGTAGTCACACACGTTTTTTGAAAAGATTTTATGTTTTAGTCTGAATGCTTTCAAAAACATTATGAAAATTTCCATCGAAACTGAAAAACACATTATCCTTATCGTGACAGCGCATCTCAGAGGAAAGGAAAAACTTTCACTCCTTTCGAACAAACTTGGACTGAATGCTTTCAAAAACATGAAAATTTCCGTCGAAACTGACTTGCGGTTAGCACATAAAAACACATCATCCTTAGTCTGACAGCGCATCTCGGAGGCAAGTAGCAAAAAGGAGAGCAAATAAATAGAACCGACGCTTGGAGATTCATTCATACTTTGTACTCGGCTGCACATACAAGAACAGCTGAAGACTGTCAAAAAATAGCAAACCAAAGAAAATCGAAATTGTTGTGAGAAATCGTTCGCTCGCTCATATTGGAAAAAGAAAAGAAATGGGTGAGTCAAAACTACAGTTGTTGTAAAATTATCGGCAGTTTATATATTGGTAAATGTAATGATTTCTTCAGCGAATACTTTTTTAAAACAATAAAAATGGAGCACATGAATTTAAAATCTTACAAAAAAACTGACAAAAATTATCTCACAGTAGGGCGGAGCTCTGATCTCATGGAATACTGAATGATAATTAATTTGCAGTAACACTAACATAAGCCAATCTACGTCATAAGATCTAATCAAGTTAGCTTGCTATTAATAAAAACAGTGCCGGACCGGGGTACGTCAAAAAATAAATTACTGCAGCTCCTTTTACAAAATAGTTACAAGTTTACAAACATTTTAGATGCAAGTGCATTGGTAAACTTATATTCATTAGAAATTCCGAACCGATAGTGTTTTTGAACGTAGTTTTCGAATATAAAATCGAATTGAGCTATATAACTTTATTTTGGCGAACGCTGAGTCCGCTTATGATTTAAAAACAAATTTTGTCGGCAAAAAATATTTGGAACTTCAACATACATAGACGTTTTCCGCCGTGCAAACAAGGATGACGTTATTACAAAAACTCTCTATACAAAGAGATAATGAAACAATGACGCAAAAAACGTCATTTGCAGCAATACGTGGGTGACTAACAATGTAAGCACTGTATAAAAATACGTATTTTACAAAGTGTCTATAGTTAAATTTGTGAGTGTAAAGTGAACGGACTGAAGAAAAAACAAAAAGTAATCATTATATAGTCTTAAAATATTTCATCTAGCTCTCTCGTGGTTATTTAGAAGTCATTCGTGTCTCTAAATAACCATAACTCTACACACCTTAAGGAAAGCATTGTAAGATTTAATAAAACATTTTTTAATAAGTATAAAATTTTCGATGGCAGACTTTAATAGGGTTGTCTATAATAAAGTATTTTATTGAACATTAATATATTAAGAATTTCAACAGTTCGTTTTTGTGATGTTGTA